GTAGACTACCCCCTCTTTGAGTGCAAAAATTTCCATCACATCACTATCAACAAGCCTCAGTCCATCCTTCCTCTAACAGCCTCCTCAGTTATGACCTACACGAAAACCTCTTTTTTTTAAAAAATGGTATTCTTTTTGAGTTCAACAAAATGATTCTAGCTTCCGACCTACAAACCTTACATGCACAATTCCCCCCCCCCAAAAAAAAACGAACCATCCTGAAAAATTTTTAATTGGATTTTCGCGTTCTAGAACTCAGTCTTAATAGCTCGAAAGAGTAACCTCAAATATGCTTATTTCTAAGTGCAGACTATATTTTAAGTTACGAAATCAGACACAAAAATGTACTTTCTCTGAAACATACCTTTTTTTCTCTTCTTGACGAATTCAAAGTTTTGACCCCCAAAATATAGGTGGTAGCCGCAATCAGGCAAATATGGTTTCAATAGTTTGGTCTGGAAAGCGTTCTGAATTTTGGACCTCTTAAAGTTAATTTTATTTTTTGCTTATTTCGCTATACCTCGAAAAATTTTTAAGCGAATTGAAAATTTTTTGCACAAAATTATAAAATTCCGTTATCCAAAGATAATTCCATGAAATGAATAAGTTTTAATAAGTATTTATTATTAATTTTTTATTATTTTATTTAATGAAGGTTGAAAAAGTTTTGAATTGTTAGGTATACAATGTTTTGTATCATTTTAAAGAATATAATTTTACATGATAAAATGGAAAATTTGAGCGAAATCGGTTGAATAGTACCTGAGACATTGAATTTCAAAAAAGTCAGATATTTAAAATTCGATTTCTGTGCAATTATGTAACCGATTTTGCTCAAATTTTGCATTTCGCCGTGTAAGATCATGTTCTTTAAATGATGCAAAATGTTCTTTACCTTGCATTTCAAATTTTTTTTCGACCACAATTCAATAAAATAAAAAAAAGTTATAAATATTTACTAAAAGTTATTTTTTGCATGGAATTATCTTTGGATAAACGAATCTTTTAATTATGTACTAAAAATTTTAAATTCACTTAGTCACTAATTCGAGATATAGTTAAATACGCAAAAAGTTATATATATATATATATGTGTGTGTGTATGTCAGAGTTGGCCGTTGATTACAGTAATCGATTACAACTGTAATTGATTACAGATAATTACAGCTATGTAATCAATTACTTGTAATCGCGATTACAAGTAATCAATTACTTGTAATCGTGATTACAACTTTCAAAAAATTTTGATTACAGCTGTAATTATGATTACAATTTTGATTACAGTAATCAATTACTTGTAATCATGATTCCAAGTAATTGCGATTACAAGTAATCCCAACAAAAACAATTACTTGTAATCATGATTCCAAGTAATTGCGATTACAAGTAATCACAACAAAAACAATTACGAGTAATTATGATTACAAGTAATCAAAATATATGATTACATGTAATCATGATTACATGTAATTTGATTACATGTAATTGTGATTACTTGTAATCCATCTATACGATTACAAGTTGTTACGATTGTATACTATAGTCAAATTTTTTATGTAAGTATTCATGTGTTTACATATTTTTATGTACATAGAATGTACGCACGCATGAACGTACAATTTGCGATTCCTATACATACAATGTATGCACAAACGTTGTTTGTACGTACAATATTCATAATTATATTGTAATATACTTAATGCAATGCGCATATGCTTAGTACATATAATTATGCATTTATGATACATGTACGCATGTATGTTAGTTTGTACAAAAAGGCAATGTTTTGTATCTTTGTATACATAGACAATGTATGTATGAACGTATATGAAAATAATGTTTATGCGTTTGCATGCTTTTATGTACTTAAGTGCATATATTGTATAAATTTACGATAATAGCACGTATATACAATGTACGTTTGTATATAAAATTGTACGTATTTGCGTACAATATGTAAAAATGTTATTTAAAGGTACAATATATGCACATAGTTGCGTAAATAAAATGCGTACATGTATACATGCATATTTATATGTACATCGATATATGTGCACGCAAAGTATGTACTTATGTACAACTTACGTATGTACTTGTATAACTACATACTTTGTTAATACTTATGCGCATGTAATGCATGGATGTACAAAAAAATAGTTATATGCACAATGTATGCATGTGCATACAACGTATACATGTACATAATTACAAGTAATGTACAAATACGTGCGTACATTTAAATATATGTAATTACAATATACACATACATTGTGCATACATTAAAAAAATTTATATGAGTAAAGTTATTAAAATTTGTTTTAAAATTATTCTAAGGTATATGAAACTCGACCTCATATTTTTTAGAAAGCAAACGATAATTTTATTTGGAATTTCTAAATATTAATTCCACACATAAAATTTACCGTTTTTCTTACCATTTAAAAAATTTCTATGAATCATGCATTATGTTATAAAAAAAATAAATCTGTATTGTCAAACATTTCATGAAAATACCTGAAAATAATTTTTTATTCAGAGAATTTCAAAATGATATAGAACAATTAAAGCTGAAAACTAAATTTAAATATCGTTTGATTTTGTCATTTAACTTGCTTGAGTCATTAAAAGTTAACTTACATGCATTTTATTTATTGCATTGTACACATATTTAGACATAAATGTAATGTACATATGTATACGTGTAATGTATGTACGCATGTACAATGTATGTACATACATTCATGTATTGTACGTGCATATATAGTACATATGGATATGCATACATGGAACATACGTGTATTGTACATGTGTGGATACATTCATTGTACATATATACATTGCACCATATGCATAGATAGGGATAGCATGCATGTACACATGTAAAATTTGTACGAAAGAATTATGCCCAATATATTTATGCACATACGTACTGTATATGTACACACATATGTACATTATATGAACATTATATGTTCATTTCATCATATGTACATTATATGAATATACATCTGTACGCTATATGTATATACATCTGTACGCTATATGTATATACATCTGTACAATATATGCATCTCAAATGTGTGTATGTACGTACGTTATGCATGTCGAATGCATGTATGAATATATGTGAAATATAAATACGCCCAATGTACGTACAATAGTTCACAAATGTATTATGCATATTTGGATACTTACATTGAGCATGAACATATTATGTACATGTACATAAATACACTGGACATGCATATCATGTACATGTATACATACATATATTGTACATCCTACAGATATACCTATATTGTACATGCATACATATATTGTACTGTTCATAAATAAATTGCACATACATGCATGGGACATACATTGTACAGACAATGTATGTATGTTCGTACAAACACAAGTACTTGTATATACATGCGTACATGAACATAGATATACATTTTACATACACAAATATTTGCATAAAATGCATATATTCATTGTGTATAAATGTACATGCCTACATTGTTTGCACATACATACGTAATTATTATCTATATACATACGTACATATATTTTATACCTACAATATAAGTGTATGTACATGTGTGTGATACTAAAATGTCTGAACATATGCACTAGATAAAATCATATGTACATACATTTCAGTTACATTCATTTGTACGTATACAAATACGTACAAAATGCAGTACATGTTAATACGTGCAAAATGTATCATTATAAAATACATTCTACTATCTACTGTAAAATATAATCATTTATAAGAATACAATAGTCTTGTAATCGTGTAATTAGATTACATGTAATCATAATTACATGTAATCAAATTACATGTAATCAAATTACATGTAATCATATTTTTTGATTACTTGTAATCATAATTACTTGTAATCGTTTTTGTTGTGATTACTTGTAATCGCAATTACTTGGAATCATGATTACAAGTAATTGATTACTGTAATCAAAATTGTAATCATGATTACAGCTGTAATCAAAATTTTTTGAAAATTGTAATCATGATTACAAGTAATTGATTACTGTAATCGACTATGTAATCATGATTACAGCTGTAATCAAACTTTGTAATCACGATTACAAGTAATTGATTACTGTAATCAATATTGTACTCATGATTACAGCTGTAATCAAAATTTTTGAAAATTGTAATCATGATTACAAGTAATTGATGACTGTAATCGAAAAATGTAATCGATTACTTTTTTGGCCAACTCTGGTGTATGTATGTATGTATGTATGTATGTATGTATGTATGTATGTATGTATTGGCTGTTCAATGTCGGTTATAAAATTAAATGAAACTAATAATCGAATTGTATTCTTTCAAACTTATTTTTTACACATCTTCATAATCTCAAGTTTCTAAGTCTTATAGATTTTGAGCAGCAATGCAAAACTTTAACGTAAAGAAAAAATTCGCAAAAAAAGCATTTAAAATTACAAATTCCATATATTCAGAATTTCGAGGGAAAAAAAACCTCTGTTAAATATATATTGTAAAGGCCCTTCCAGCATATCAAATTTTTACTCAGTGATTAAAATGTGTTTCTGTTTAAATTTTTTTTCCTCCTTCAAAAAAAAAAAAAAAATTTGCAATAAAAGAAAGGTTCTGCATTATAGTCTCATCACAATCAATATATTTAGCAATCAAATAATATTATTAATTTTTTAATAAATTAATGTTAATACTCAACAATAAAAAAGACAGTTTATTTTAGATGTACAGAAAAAGAATTGAACCTGTAAGGGGCCCCGTCATTTGCAGTAGCTTAAGGCCCCACCAAGCTTAAATCCGGTCCTGGTTGGAAAATACTTGCAGGGTAAAAAAAAAGAAAATTTGCTGAAGAATTATTTTCAGGTATTTTCAGGAAAAAAGATTTGCTGAAACCATGGTAACGAAGTAGATAAGAGTTTGGCGTATCCTCTTCTGATTACAAATCCCCCCTCCCCGATCAAGTTGAGATGAAAGAAGAAATGATTACCTGGACCGTGGACAAATACCGATTCTTCGTCGCTTTCTGTACCCGAATCTATCGAGTTGTGAACCCTGCAGATGTAGAGTCCCTTGTCCTGCTCTGTCACATAATCCATCCTAAGAGTAGAACTTGGCCGACCCCCACTACGGAAAGTGTAGATAGAGAGGCGATCATTTCTCTTTTTTATTTCATGAATATCTTCATTGTCTGAAACAAATATGAAAGCATCGTTATTTTGTTTAAAAAGAAATGTAGCATTCGTTTGAAACAGAAAGTAATGTTATTAAGGCAGTCAATGGGTTTGAATGTTTATAATGAAAATCTATCCTCAACATTTGTTGCGTGTCATGTTTGAGTGTGCAGTGCGGGGGAAAAAACGAACCATTCTAAATAACTTTTGATTTAATGATCGGTCAAACAGTTCCAGAGAAATCGAATTTTTAAAATTAGATTTCTCAGGAACTATTTAACCGATTTTGCTGAAATTTTGTATTTTGCCATTTAAAGTTATATTCTTTAATATAACTTACGCCCGGTGGCTGAGTGGTAGCGCTTCGCGCACCCGTGCTACAGGTCCTGAGTTCGATCCTCGGGCCGGGCAAGGTTGACTGAGCCTTTCATCCCTTCAGTGGGTCGATAAATGAGTACCAAGCAAGCTTGGGAACTAAACACTGGGGGTTTCACCTAACCGAAACATCTGCTCCTGCACCCCAGAGCCCAAGGTCAAGAAAACTGAGATGGTCACAGTAGGCCTTGGCCCTCTATGGACTGTCGCTCCACTGAGTTTAATTTTTTAATATAACTTAAAAAATTCTATACCTTGCAATTAAAAAACTTTTTCACTATTTCTAAATGAAATAATAAAAAATAATAAGTGAAACGAATTTTACAATTGTGCGCAAAAATTATTCGATTAAAAAGTTCACAAGATATGGTAAAATACATAAAATGTAAAACCAATATTAAAAGGCCCAAAGTTTGGACAGCTTTTCATGCCAAAGTATTTGGATCCTATTTCCCAGATTGCGATTACTCCCTATATTTTGAGAGTTAGAAATCCGAATTCGTCGAAAGAAAGACATGTTTATTCAGAGAAACTACAATTTTGTGTCTGATTTCATAACTTAAAATATCGTTTGCACTAATTAATTAACATTTTTGAAACCAACCCCTCGAACCATTAAGATTGAGTCGTAGAATGTGAAGATGCAATCATTAGAACAAAAGTTATTCAGGGTGGTCCGTTTTTTCATTTTTTATTTATTTGTGCACTTGTACGAGATTTATTGTAATAGTCGTCAAAGAGTCGAATGTTTAGTTACATTTAAAAACACACTTTGAAGATATTTGAAATCCCCCAAAAGATATGACTAAAAGTGCGATGAACAAATGCATAATGCGTACTTTCTAAACATATTAGAAACGCAGAATGACATGCAACAAATGAACGCATGCAAATAAATACGTATGCAATATAGATTGAGTCCTAAAACTGGACGATCCATTCATTATATCAAAGTTTATTTTGTCTGCGCTTTGTACATGTTACCGCTAAAGTGTAGGAATCAGATATTATATCATGTGCGAATCAACTAGGGTGATTCGTTAAAGTGTCAAACAAATTGTTTACCCAAATTACCGAGACAATCTACTACATAATCTACACATTACCTACTGGACACTCGCTAAAGTGAAAATAAGATCATTACTGAATCAATAGCAATGTTTCTGCATGTTCGAATTTTGAAATTAACATAATGTTATTTATTTATTTTTCATTCTTAACAGAAATCAATATATTACAATCAAACTATCAACACATTAGTTGATAGAATCAGTCACTTTAAAAACTATAACACAAAAAATCAAGCTGTTTAAAATGTTATTACAATTAAGGAAATTGAAATTATGTCATTTATTTATGTTTCAATATATTAATAATCAAGTCAATAAACAGTCAACAAATGAATTGATGGAATAAGCAAAACAAATTTATGAACTGTAATGATACAGAAGCAGTAGATGTGCACATTACCTACGTATAATAAGAAAAACTCTTCCGTTGATTAACGAGTCAAAGAATTTAATTTACGGATTTCAGTGAGGACATAGAGCGGCAAGTACGAGCGTTATTCATATGAATGGCACTGGCACTTTACCTTAGAAAACCATCTGTATGGGTAGGAAATACCGGACAGTGTGATAAATGTGTATTTCTAACACATTTACCAAAAGACATGGTTATTAATGATAAAATTCAGTTCAGTTGTTGTTAATAATAACCGGATAAACAATATTAAAGTTCAATATCCCAGAAGGGATATGCGGACCATTTCTCGATATACACTTGCTCCGTATTCCTTAAACTAATGTTTCTTTTTTTTTTTTAAATGTTAAGGAGTATTTTCCGAAGTAGACTTACCCGCTGTTTCCAAGCCTGATGTTTTTATGGTTAAGGTTGATTGCTATTTATGCACTTGTCCAGTATTTCCAACACTGGTGTTTTTCCTGATCTATCCCAATTAGATTTTATTAATATATTACTAACGTAACGCATTATCGCAATTGACCGTTCCCTAAGGGAGTCATGGTGGTTAAGGCTCCACAATTAAGTGACCAATGGCAGGGTGGCGGTAATGGGGTTAGCACTGTGCGCCAACCGCCTTTACTTTCCATAGAAGCTTTTACCATCGATCTGAGACTGGGTGGACTTCAAGCCACCACTTGGGCTCCAACCCCAGTCTTTCACAATGATGCATTGTTACCCCAACCATTGCGTCACCAGATATTAATAATTAAAAATGAAAATATCTATTAAATTACTATCAAATTGTGTGTAACAAATATTTCAGACATTCACTGAAGTGACTATATGAATGTCCATACTCATTCGTGAACATTGACATTTACCACGTATCAAAATTTTTCAGCGAAGCATATGTATAGTGTTCCATAAAGATCTTCCTTAAAAAATTGTTTACAGTTGCAAGTTTTTATTTAAGCGAGTGGGAAGTAAAATCCAAGGCTGAACTAGATCAGTAACTTAACCGTTATATCTGTTTATACGACGGTTAAGTTACTGATCTAGTTCAGCATTGTAAAAAACATTTTTAAAATCTGACAAATCTTAAATGAGAAACAGCGAAATTGAAAACATTATAAAAACTTGTCATTTATTCATATACATATAATATTACTAGAGACAATTTATCCCACTAAAATCTAGAAATTCTACCTCCATGTGTATTTTGTTTATTCCTACATTTTTTGCTTAAGATATAGTTTTTAATGCTATTCTATCTTGTTTTCTTGGGTACGAAATTACTCTGATTTTAACTCAGTGTAGTGACAATACTGCAAATAAGCTGAATTAACAAAAAAATGGGGGGAGAGCCTAACTTAGATTATTTATCCCTAATCAGCCTTTAATAATATTTGAAAATTGTCAAGCAATAAAATTATAATTAATTTATTTTACAGTACATATTTTATTTTTGAACTGCCGTTGAACAGCCGACCGAAATTTAAGTTTACGGCTATCCATGTTCAACTTCGTAGCCTTGTCATTTTGAACCCAATCCAGAAGACAAGAGAACTCCTGGATCAGTACCAAAGAAAGTATTTATTGATTTGTTATGAGAACTTGAAGGACATTCTGACCCTGGCAGATTTAACGCGCACCAGTAACCATTTAAAACACGGGGATTCTTCGGCCGGCTGGATTCGAACTCTCGTTCTCTCACACACGAGTCCAACGCACAGCCAATCAGACGATCTCAGCTTACAATACATATTGAAGCTTTTAATAAGTTTTTAATGACAGGTAATAAAATTAATATTTTTTAATGTCTTCCGATTAATTTTTAGGCTTTTGCAAAACACTTGTTAGATGTCTAAATTTGTACACCATTTTAACGAAATAAATAAATAAGTTCTGTATTATGATATATATCATAAATGTTATTAATGAAAAAGAATCTATTAAATTTCTATTAGTGCTGATCAAGAGATTGTGGAATATTTGCAGCTTAACTGAACGCTATTAAACTCCCATTTCGTTTCGAATTTAAAATGTGCTAGCAGAACAAAATTGAAAGGATTTTATGCGCTAGGTACAAATGAAGTTTTAGTTGAAATAACGCATAAATAAAATTTCAAAAAAAAAAAAAATGAGTTCAAGTGAGTTAGCTGCTGACATTTGGAAAATGATGAGAGAGAGATGTTTTTGGAGATGATCCAAACCCTATCCAATCAATCCGAGTAATGGAGGGAGTTTTCTGGCGATCTTTCAATCGAATTGAATAAATGAATGTCGTGGCAATAACCCGTTTCACGCAGGATTTCATATACGAAGTCATTTAACTTTCTTTCAAAAGAACACACAAAATCGAAACACATAAATTAACAGTTGACTAAATTGGGTCAATTCATAAACGAGACTGGCGCCTTTATTCTTTCTTAAAGAATGACCATTTACTGAGAATACGCAGATATAAAGTTTTCTACCATTGAATTTTAAAATTGGAATATAATAATCTTAAAACTGTTATAGCCTCAATGTTTAAGAACAGAAAAACAGTTATTTTTCATGAAATAATTTCAGTAAAATTATTACATAAATTTTGCACAAAGCATCACAGAGTAACTTAACTTTAAAAGTAATTTGACACACGAATGTTTATTTTCTTAAAAATCATAAAATTTTAACCTCCATCTCAAGAACTGATTACGAACGAAAGATGAGGGAAAACAACGACTTGAAAAATGTATGAAAATTGAGAAAGAAGTAATGGAATTGAAAATGAATAAATATATAATTAGTCTAAAAAATCTTAATCGAAAAATATTATGACCTCAATACAAAAGATTTTACGACGCAAAGAAGGATGAATAGAACATATTTACTGATTTAAAATATTCTAATTGTTTCAAAGGCTCAAAGGCCTGCTACAAATGTTTTCACGGGTTTCGGTTAAGTTCATTTTCTCCATCGGTATCACATTGGACATCTTCGGCAACCATTTCTTGAACCGAAAACATCACAAGCTTCAATATTTTGATCAACTGATATGTCTGAACACCATTAACATCAAGAGTTACTGTTTTCTTTCGGAAAAACGGATTCAATTCAATATTTTTGGAAAACATCAGTTGAATTTCTGAACGATCGAGGTGGGAATTTGATTGTTTCAAAGACGATCTAAATGAGCATTATTATAATTGGATGCCCGCAAGTGACGTAGTGTGGGTATATCGATCCTGATTGGATGTTGAAATATGGCATTTGTTTACGTCTGCAACTGTTCTTTCCATTCTATTTCGCGTAAAGCAAGCTCGACAAATATCAATTCTCTTGACTCATTCTATATTCTTAAACAAAGATTCCTTCATAAAGATTTCAATTCTATCCTTGTATAGTTCTTACTTAACACAAAGAAAGGCATGAAGTCATGTAGAACATAAACAAACCATCTGTGCATCGAAGTTGCCGGGTACACAAAAGAAAAATAGATCACGGTTACAATAAAATACATAAACTAACGATAAATCCAAGTTAAGGAAAAGACGAGAAAGAATTATATTTCAATGAATTCGATGTGCGATACGGCGATGTATTTAATCAACTTCACATTAATTAACATTTTGACTTATGTGGAGAAACTTAGCTTGACTTTAACTCGCCATTTTGCTTATAAACGAACTGCTGGAACTGACGTCGTAGGTCACGTGTTATTTTTGCGACATTTGTATTGTGACATTCTTAAAGTGCAAGTACCCAATTATAAGAAAACATTTGTGACGGGACCGTTTAAACAACATACGAAAAGATGCGGGAACAATGAATTGAGGTTCTTCTGTATTTAAAAATGAGAAAATAAGAAACAATTTTTTAGTTTAAGTAAGTGGTTCGATTAAAGAAACAGCTAACGACTCTTCAAATTTTTCCGGATCAAATTTCAACAAAAAAATTATTTTATCCCTTTTGGTATATATCAAACAACTGTAATACTATACTATTCGTTAATAGAATAAGCATCTCATGGTTGTATGATTTTAATCACGCTTTTCCCTTCTCAATTACCATGGTTCCGTCAAATCATGCTTTTCCCCTACGGTAGCACGTTTCAGTAAAAAGTTGGAATATGGATAGAGTTTTCAATATAAATGTAAACAACAACAATCTCGAGCTCTTGACCTGCTCGGTTAAAAAGTATACAGCTGCTGACTACAGATAATTCTGTGAGGCTATATTTTCAAACAGATAATTTTGTTATTAAAAAAAAGAAATAAATTACATTATTTCTGAGCTCAAATCTGCTGTATTTCATAAGATCATAAGGTATTAATGATATTAAGTAGTTCTGATGACTGTGAAGTGATAATATGTTTGAGTCATTTTGGGATGTATAAAAAAAAGGTGACATTTTTGCTAGATTTAGAAAGAGCTCACTTTTTCGGCAGTTCTGATTCAGCCTCTTTTTACTTGCTTATTACTGTTTGTTCTTGATGCAAGCCATGCACCATCATACATTAGTGTTCGAGCAGCGAAATTAAGTTCATTTTACAAACTATCATTTAGGTTTAAATCTCGAAGTTGGTGTATATTGTTAGAAGTGTCTTATGACGAATTCTTTCAAATGATAATTTTTACATTTTGAAATGACGATTCTTAAAACAAATAACGATTCTCCTTTCAAACACAACTAATAAATACAAGAAATACTACTCAAGAGAGTCTCAAAACATCACGTTGTGAGCCAAATGGCTTCAACAAAACACACCAAAAACAGTAAAACTCGGAAGTATAGGCAGTCAAGAGTTTGCAGCGCACCCTAGTGTAGAAAACACAATTCATTCCTGCGAGGGGGGTAAGCGAAATTTGCCAGAACCATAATAACAGAGCGATTGGGAAAATCTCGTTTCTTTGAAACGCCTATTTTATTCAGGAAGAGTATGGTGACATTTAAACACTACTGAGTCACCTGTAGGCCATTTAAATCGCCAATAGACAAACTGATTATTTACGTAAATATTCATCCAACGGAAAATCGACGCCTGATGCTTGTGTTTGATATAAAAATAAAAGAATCTATTTATTTACCTTTGTACCATGTAAATTCAGGCAAAGGAAATCCTTGTGCTTCACAATAAAGATGTAAAGTGCCGTTTTCGATGTTCGCTCTTTCTGGGAATTGAACAATTCTTGCTGCACCTGAAAATACACTCTTTTTTTTAAAAAAAAAATCTGAACCACTTTTTTTTTAAAAAAAAATTGCTGTTTTTACGAAAATTCATGCACGTGAATGCATTTTTCACTCACAATTCTTAAAAAGTCATAAGCATATACACCGAAGAGCCATTACATTATAACCACCCTCCATCAATAACAATGGTCTCGTCCAGGTTTTCATGGTTTTTCGCCCAGGAACAATGTTTTCATGGGGCACATTAGGACCCATAATCCTCATAGAACAATCCCTGACGGCTGTTAGCTACTTGAACATAGTTGCAGACCAGGTTCACCCATTCATGGCAACAGTTTTTCCTGCGGGGGATGGTGTTTACCAACAGGATAAAGCCCCATGTCTTAAGGGTCGAATCGTCGAGGAACATTCCAGTGACTTTGAAGTCATGTCTTGGCCCCCAAATTCACCTGACCTTAATCCAATAGAGCATTTGTGGTCCTACTTGGAAAACCAAATTCGTGCTGCCACGCAATGTGAGAGAATTACATGACTAGTTGGTGAGCGCTCGGTACCAGATACCTCAGACTACCTATCAGCACCTTGTGGAATCAATGCCACGGTGGGTGCTAGCAGTTTTGAGGGGCTAAAGGTGGTCCTACATGTTATTAGCAGGGTGGTCATAATGTAATGGCTCTTCGGTATATAAAAGATAGAAGGTATTGATAAATTGTAAACATAAAAGTATTGCTCATATGTACATTGAAATAAATGTTTCAATTCCATAACTGTACTGCTTTCATCCCTTACAAAGCATTTATGTACCAATTAAGAAATAAAATTTATTTAATGTAAATACATTTACTAGATTTAAAAAGGAAAAAGCATCATTTATTCCATATAAAGGAATACAAATACAGGTATATAAAGAAATATGATGAGGGTCACCCCTATAGTCATGGGATATTCTGGTATGTCCAACAGGAGAATGAAAGAATTCCGATAACAGTTTAAAATATATCAGATCCTCCGTGAGCAGTGAGGTGTCTTCACAGGATAGTTAAGTGATTCCGATTAGTTAATACGCGTCATATGATCCACCGGTGTGTCTAGAGAAGAGTAGGAGAATTCTGATAAGAGTTTTATTTGATTAATAAGGCGAATACCCGTTCTTCATACTGGATTGGAAAAAGATAATAATCAATAAATCGGCACTAAAAAATTCGACAAAATCACGCACAAAACTGAAAGGCATGTATCAGCACAATGAATGAAACTAAATTTATTCCAATATTAATTATTATATAGGTATGTCCCTTTCCGATGTCTTTATCACGATGTATTTAGATTAAGCAAAACACGTTTTTTTTTGTAGTTCATCCCATCAAAATAGCGATTAACTGCATACATTGCATTTTGGAATTATGCTATTGATGGACTCCAAATTACAAACAACCGATTTTCTCCGGCATTTATTTCTTTTGAGGGGCGGTCAAAAAACTTTTTCCACGATATCTATATTAAAATTGTCCTGTATTGATACAGTTTTAATGGTAGCAAATGTACTCATATTATACGCTGTATCTATATTAATATCTTTGGTACCCATTGAAATTGCTCCAACGCAGTGGTGCATATTACCAAAATTAAATAAGCCTTATTAGCAACAATAATGGCATGACGATTATTTACGCTTCTCCTGAACGAATGAGTGCCATTTTTTAAATTAATTTTGGTTTATATTATAAATAGCAATTAATTCCAGAATGAGTAAGTATTCAAAATGAGTAATATAAATTGAATTAGGAATCATTATCAAAATTAAGTGAGAATAATTAGCCTCAAAATTTGTAGGGCGATTTTTTACTTTTTTTCTAAATGGTATCATTAATCCGTTCATTTTGCGTTTTAGTACATAGATTATTTTATTTTTGGGTACTTACCGGTTAACCGGGAGCAAATAAATTCAACGTTTTTATTTTTTCTTATTTAAATTTTGTGAACGTCCATTTTGTTATGTGTTTTTTTTAAAAAATAAAATAAATAATAGCAGTAGTAAAAATAAAAAAAGTTAGTTGAGCTCTACATTTCTTAGCAATTTTTCACTTGCTCTTGGCTAACTGAAAACTAGCTATTTTTGTATACAGTTTACGGTCCATTAGGCTTACAATTCCGGTAATGATAAAATATCAAAATGAAACTTTTTAAGTTTTTCTTCAAATTTTATAAGAAACACATGGTCCGATTTCTCTACCTTTATTTTTAAAAAACTCTATATATATATATAATTTTATTTATCTTGACTTCGAAAAAATATATAAATTAATGAAATAAGTATCAAAAGTACTGTCCTTCAATTTGTCTATAAAATATTTTCCGACTCTTAAAAAAATTAATAAATAAAAAAACGGAAGTGACGTAAGGAAAGAAATTAATTTTATAAATCAACATTTGTAAGAAATAAATAAGCATTTATGATAGCAATTAAATATTCATGAATTAGAAACAATATTTTATAAAGCCTGCAATTTCCGCCATTTTAAAACTTAAGTGATGCTTTTTCTTTCAAAATTTCAGTATGTTTTGAGCTATCTTTTAAGTCTTTCTTTTCAACCTGAACCTAGATTTGAAAAACTTCAAAAATATTTTCATTGTTTCGAAATGTTATTATATTCTTTAGTTCCGCGTCTCACACATGAGAAGAGCAGTTCGGTGTCGGATTTTTAATATGCAAAAAAGAAATCGAAAAATAAAAATTAAATTATAAAAATAAACTCCTCTCGACTTGGAGGAGGGTAATGATTTTACGAATAAGGAGCGAATCTAGTGGACGTCCGCATTCTTCGAACGTTTTATTTTCTAATCATTGAAGAATGTTCGGATATTCGAACTTTAGCAAGGACGTAGTTATTAAGTAGGCTATATTAATAATACCATTTTATAGCTCGATAAGACATATTTGACTACAGCTGTCAAATTTCATTTTAATACAATTGGCGATTAAAATAAGTCGATGTTATGTTAAGTAATGTTTTTATAAGCATTTTTGAAACTCATTAAATTATAAGTCGTAGTTGTAAATAGTATGTACGCTTGAGCCGTTGCGGCTCTGGGCACGGGCGGATTAAGCGTACGCGGGGCCCTAGGCCATTCAAATTTTTGGGACCCTTAGATTAAATTTTTTGCTCGTATATTTTTTATTTATTCAAATATAAATGTATTTATAGATCTTTTCATTTAAGAAAGCATATTTAAAATTAAAATAAATAATAATAAATAAAATTTTTCTTTATTTTATTAAATTAGAACTAAAAAATAATCCATTTTAAGGGGGCCCCTAATCATTGGGGGTCCCAGGTCATGGCCTAGTCTGGCCCTGGCTCTGGGGATAAAGCCTTCCAATGACGTGAACAGGGTTCGAATTCCAACAATGGTTAGTTGATACGAATTCCACACCCGGCTTGCACCGACCACAGTGCTGACGTGAAAGATCCTCAGTGGTAGACGGATCATGGGTTTAAAGTCCCCTTGCCATCAGGCTAACTGTGAGAAGTTTTTGAGGTTTTCCTCTCCTTGTAACGCAAATGCGGGTTATTTCCCTCAAAAAAAAGTCCTCCACGAAGTCAATTTTCTCCCAATACTTGATCCAGAAGTTCCCTCGTCTTCTGGATTGGGTTCAAAATGACCAGGAGTTAAACATTAGCAATCGCTAACCCAAAATTGGGTCGGCTGTTCAACGACGGTTATAAACGCTTATGCAATATTTAATTTAAATTTCATTTGACATGAATTCTGATGTTGTTGCTGTTGACGTATGCCATTTAGTCAGAGGGGGTGCGATTGTCCTTGTTTTTCAGTGGCGCCATCTATGGCCAAGAAATTGACTTCTACCACACCCATTCGTCACACCCGTTTATAGAGATGACCTATTCATACATTCATTCATTCGTTCAAAGATAGCAATTTTGACCTGAACGATCCATCTCCAATCCAGTATCCCCAGAGGTATTGATTTGTTACGGAAACACGGAGGACTTTGAGACTCATCAGATTTAACGTGCATGAGTCACCATTTACTACACGGGGAGTCCTCGGTCGGCAGGGATCGAACCCACGACCTCTTGGACATGGGCCTAGTGCCCTACCAACCAGGCTATCCCGGCCTATGAATTCAGATGAGAACTTTTAATAGAATTGCTCACTGTTTAAATGAAAAAATCTTCCGATTCCGGATATTCCATCCACTCGTGAAGTGTCTACGGTACATACGTATTCTCCTGCATCGTCTTCCTGAGCGTATTCCACCAATAGACTCGCACCAGATAGCACTATGTTGGATTCAGAATGTTCCACCAGGCGGCGACCGTTCTTATACCTAGAAGGACAATTATGTTTAGTATCTGAAAATGTCCCTGATTTAAAGCAAAAAAGGTGGTGGGTATTTTCGGGAAAAATGAATGCCAAAGATTCTTTTTCATAGAAAGCTTTATGATGTTATTATAAATGATAATCGAAGACTGTACACTTCCAATTTTTTTTAGGGAAATGCGAAGGAGTTTCTTCTAGATCTGCAAATGTGTTAAGCTGAATTGAATTGAACGATCGAACTAATAGTTCAGAAGTGATAAGGGCTTTATGTACAAAAATACTCCTTTGTTCTTAGATTGACTCTCTCGACAATGCTATCGAAAAAAGTGAGACATTATGCATCCCCCCTCCAAAAAGGAAGAATCTTCCAGGAGAAGGAGAGAATTTTCAGGTATAATTTATAACAACCCGACTAAGCTTTTTATGAAGAAAAAAAAATGCTTGGATGTTGATTTTTTCGAGAAAAAAAACGTCTAATTTTTAACAGGGAAGCATATTTCGTTATTAAAAATCAAGTCATTTTATTTTGGTTTGAAAACTACGATAGGAAGTACTAATGTAATATTTTCCCTCTCATAGTATATTCAATGCATTTCATTGAAAAATCACGCACTTTTTCCCCAAAAAAAATTTGCTATTTCTCTTTTAATAGAATTTTACTTAAAATAATTGTGTAAAGTCAAACAAATTATTAAGTAAATAATAGATTATTGAGTCTAAATATAATTATAGGTTTCAAAAATGTTTGGGGGAGGAAAAAAAACGTTTACCACTTCCACTGAGCCCACGGAAAATCATTTTGGAACAGCTGAGCTTGAACACCATTTGTCTTATAAAGACCCATTTATGAGCCTCATTCATCTGCAGATAATTTCACGCAAAATTAATATTCATTATCTTTATTGGATAATTTAATAACATTTTTAGATTTTAAAATGATAAAGTTCTTACAACACCTTAAAAGCTGGTAGCTTCAAAAGTAAAAATTTAAAAATGGAATAGAAATTAGAGATTATAAAAAAAAAATCAAAGTCTTATTATCTGCGTGCCAATATAGAAACAACTTGCACTATAATTGATTTTCATACACTCGCATGCGCAAATAGAAGGTTGAATTTAAAAGATTGTTCATCCAAACTTACCACGTGACTGGTGTATCATCGTCTTGAGCTGAAGAACAATAAAATTCGTACGATTCATTCACAATCAATTTGTATTCATTATCCTTCTTATGATCTGAGATTTCACTTTCTTCTCTGTCTTCCTCTGCAATAACGATTGAATTTAGGTCAAGCAGATAGGTGTATGTATACAGGATGCTCACTTAAGCCAGTATCGACTCGCTTAATTTACAACCGGCTTCAATAATTATATAAAATAGGTATGTAGGTATAGTAAAGTGATTTAGACTCAACCGGTGAAAAGCGGAAAAGTTAATACGCGGATCTCGAAAACACCACAAGATACGGATGGAAAATGTGTTGAGACTTGGTGCGAATATTATTTTATAGATGAATACTTTAAAAAAAAAACATTTAAAACACGCTTTTGTTGCTTATAATTTCATATGATAGTCGAACGTGGCAAAACGATATTAGAATTTTTTGAAAGATAGTTATTCTGTGATTCCTTTGTTTTCAAATTCTAATCTGCTCTTAAAACTATGTACTTAGAACTTTTTTTCCCCCTATTGAAGATTTTTGTGACCTCAGAGGAGACAAAAAAATATACGCATTCTTTTTTCAGCATTCACAAACGGTGTGATCACAAGATTCGTAAAATACTCTTTCCAAATAGAATAGTCCCGCAGTGGACTNTACTTTTTAAAATAAGAACTTTTTACTTTTTACTCGTTACTTTTTTTAAAAATACTTGTACTTTTACTCGTTACTTTTTAAAAGTAACGTTGCCATATATGCGGGCTACCGAAGCGGGGGTGCCATCCCCTCTGCAGAGAATCAAAATTGTGATGGCATGTCTTCGGATCATCCTCAGGGAGGTTTCCCAGACCGTCGCCAATAGCCCATAATGCAGCTCTAGTGCGGCGTAAATGAACAACAACAACCAAATAGAATAGCCGTCTCACACTCTCGACAATGTACTTTCCGAACCCATGCCAAGGGAGAGGAGAAAAGTGTGGAGAGACGAAAAATCGCAAGATCCCTATGGATGGTGTTTTCAATAGAAATGTAAACAATAACAATCTCGAGCTCGGCACCTACTCTAGTTCCGGTTAAAAAGTTTGCAGCTGCTTACTACATGTTATTCTGATAGGCGATGTTTACAAACGGATAATTTTGTTTTCAATAAAAGAAATAAACTAGATAATTTCTGAGCTCAAATCTGCCGTATTTCATAAGATATTAATGTCATTATGTAATTCTGGGGAGTTTGGAGTGAAAATTTGTTTTAGTTATTTTGTTATTTATTATTAAAAAATTTGACATGATTGCTAGATTTTGAATAACTCGCTTTTTTGGCAGTCTTGATTTGGCCTCTTTCCATTTGTTTATTACTGTTTGTTCGTGTTGCAAGCTGTGCACCATCTTACGTTAGTGTTAACACTTTTAGTATTGTAAACACAAGTATTGTTAGCATTGTAAACATAAGTAATAAGTAATCAAATGCATTGTTCGCAAGAATCTCAAAACACAATAATGCAAAATGGCTTTAAAATACAACTGAAACAGTAACCCGGAAATTTAGGCAGTCCCGAGCTTGCAGCGCTCCCTAGTGTAGAAAACACCATCCATTCTATTTACAAAGAGATAATGCTCTACATCTTTATGTTATACTATTCTTCTTATCTGGCAACGCTTTCGAGAAAAGAAGAAGCTCTTCAATTCTCTACACGGTAGCTTTACGGGGCCTAGGCAACTAGCGTATAGCCACTTTACTGTACTTTGTTGTTTATTTAAGTCTGTTGTTTATTAAGTTACTGTACTTTGTTGCTTATTAAGTACCGGTTGTTTATTTAAGTCGCCACTTTTTTGTTGACTTCCCACCTGGCGTGTAGTTTATTTTCAGATTTACGGATACGTAACTAAGATTCATAATTAGTTATATTTTTTAAAAAAACGAAGGTAGGTTAAAAATTTGATTCCCATATTCTTAATTTCAACAGCTTTTTGTTCCGTTTAACAAATTTAAAAAAATTGAAACATTTTAAAAATAATTAAGCTCTCTTATCTAAAATTGATTTCCTACGGTAAACATATTTTTGCAATTAATATTATTTTATTATTTAGTTCTATGATAATAGAAATATTTTTGGTTTACAAGGATTAAATTTATTAAATTTAATGTTTGTTCTTTTTTTTCATGTTATTTTTCAGTAGGTCAGGAGGTAATTTTTAGGTAAGTAATTTAGATAAATAAAGTAAGAAGGCAGGTAATTTTTATTCATTTCTATTATTACCATGTTAGATAACTGTCACTATCAATAATCATCACGATATTCTAGTTTTCAGTAAAAGTCTTATAATTTAAATGTATTAATATTTATAATAAATTCCGAGAACATATTTATATTGTTATCACGGTAATAAAAAAAAATGACAATATTTCATGAAATGAAAATTTCACAATCATAAATTAAAAAATGGCAAATCTTCATGATATATATCATAAGGGAATAAATTTTTTAAAAATATCGTTATTCAGATATTTAACGACATCGATATTTCACGATATATTTTGAAACAAGGTTATCGTAAATGATCGCTATCGTGATCCTAAAAAAGTGACGATTGTCTCACCATTTTTAGATACATCGCTATTCAAAAATGAATACTTTTAAAAAGTATGGGCTGTGTACATAAAAGAGATGTGTGATCCATTATCCTTTAAACTGATTCATATATACACTGCTTGACAATCGAACAACTCATTTATTCAAAATAGCGTTCTCGACAGCCAACCCATGACAGTAAAATCAAGTAGAGAGGGCGAGGTAGAGTAGCAATCGTTATCTGTATTAAAGGCAGTGCAAACAATCTCATTCTTCCCACCTCCCCGAGACATAGACACGGAGAAACAACCACAGATTTTCATCTGTGGAAATTTTACTATTTCTAAAGCCATTTAGTCACAGTCGCCTTAGGCCAAAAATTCAGATGAAGAAATGAGATGCTCACTTACGCGGGCAGGTACTTCATCATATCTTATATCAAGTCAAGTCGCCAATCATTCGAAAATTCTTAACGTTAGGCATTTGCAGGGGCCCCCATCAGGGGGGAAGGTGGGCGCACGATGCGCCCACTTAAAGCTTGGGGGGGGAATTTTTACACTAAATAAAACGAATAGTTTGGGGGGGGGAATATAGACAGGAGAATTTTTTTTTTAAGTGCATAAATAAAAGAAGCAACGTAGCACTATTTCGAACAAGCTAACATGGAAGGGGAAAGTTAGCAAATTCTTCTTTGGGGGGATGAATGCGCCCAAGAGCTTGGGGGGGATGGGGGTCACTGGGCATTTGACCAAAATAGTACCATAGGTTGATAAACTTATTTCTGTGAAATTCAGTGTTGTGTTGCAATAATGAAGTGCAAAATGTTAGCAAGATATCATTTAGGTTCTTACTATCGTGGACGAGCAGTTAGATGACTGGAAGCAGGTCAGAATGTCACTAGCAGTAATGGGACAGTCAAAAAGTGTCATCTCGCGGTTAAAAAAAGATTGCCCGAAAGTGGATATGCTACGCAAGAGCATGCCTGTTGTAGAAACATCGCACCTTAAGAGGAACGATATCTATCCCCAGTAGCGAACTGAAATGTCACTCATAGGCAGATAGTTGCAGACCTTGCCACCAATACCGGTATACAAGTTTCCGTCAGAGCCATCTCACTGCTATAGAATGAAGTTGATTAGCATGCACTGAAACCTGCTCGATGCATCCCGCTCTAACCACACCATCGTCGAGAAAGGTTACGTTCAGAGCTAAAGAGAATAGAAGGGCTGGTTCACTCCTTTGAAGTAGCTCTCGCCGCGCCAATCCTCCGATTTTCTCTAGTGACGTCACTTTGGCGCAAAGCTCGCACTTTTACTTCAAGAACGAAGCGTTCGGCCTTACTAGCTCTAACTAATATTGGAGCATTTCTTTTTGCGAACTATTCTAAGACATTTGTTATTTTCCATAACGACTTTCCTCAGTTTTTGCAGCGAATTTACAAGAATTTAAAACTATTATCGAAATGTCAGTTTGCGCGATTAAAACTTGAAAAAATTTTGATAGAGAAACAAAAGGAAAAAATTTAATTTTCCGCGTGTTCCTTAAAGTAAATGAACAACTATGCAAAGAATGGATTTCGAAATGACACAGTTAATATAAAACAGCAATACGTTTATTCTGTCGTTAAGAACTTTTATAAAAATTCATTATCTAAATAGAAACCGCCTCGTTACTTCAAAAAGAAAGGCAGGTGAAAAAAATTAAAAAAT